GGGCGAAAGCGGCGGGGGGAAGGCGGCGGGGGGAATGTCTGGGGAAGTTCAGAGAGGGCGGGGGAAGGCCAGAGAAGCCGAGGGTCCAGCGAATCAACCAATCAATCAATCAATCAATCAATCAATCAGTCAACTAAGAAGGAAAGGGAATCCTGAGCGGATGTCGGGCACCCTACCGTCTCAACCAGAAAACAAGGTACGAAAGTTTTTTTTTTTTTTTTTGGGGGGGGGGGAAATATTCAGTATTTCATTACAACGAAAACCTGGGACGAGGCTGGGGACCTCACAATTCAACCCGGAGTTACCCTGGCAGTATGAGCCAGTTTTGCTTACAATGCAGGCTCGCTGACCTACCTCTATTCCAGGTCCATCCCGACCACTGTTTTGAAAACCGGGTCCAACGTCCCATGATAAGACCAAAGTCTTTCCAAAAATCAAACCTCGAAGCACCGGGAGAAAGGGGGCCGTCACACACACAAAGGCACAAACATACACTCACAGGGACGCACAGAAGAACACAGACACACAGACAAACACAGACATGCAGACATAGACACACACACACACAAACAATCGTGTTTACACAACACAAACAGGCACGCAGACACAGACAGACACACAAACAGTGATAGACACTGACGCGCACTGGTAGACACACACACAAGAACACAGGCACACAGACACACAGAGACACAAAGACACAGGATTGTAGTGACAAAAAGTTTCCCCAAAACCAGTATAGGCCTATAATCACTTTGGCCTGCGCCACTCGTGTTTACACACAAATACACGCACACAAGGACACAGTTAGACACACACAGATACACGGACACCGACACACACAACGACAAAGACACGCACAGACACACGCACAGAAACACGGTCACGACCACACACGGACAGAGGCACAAACGGACACACTGACACAATCCGTGTCTGTGTTCGTATGTCTTTTTGTGCACCGCACACGAACACAGACTCAGCTCGTATCTGTGTGCGTATGTTTTTTTGTGTCTGTTTCAGTGCCTGTGTCTGTCTGTGCACAGTGGCAGAGACTAACGCAAGCACATTCCCAGAATTGTTATAGGCCTATAACCACTTTCGTTTGTGGCAGTCGAGTTCACACACAGACACACGCACACAAGTACACAGTTAGACGGACACAGTTAGGCACACACAAACAAACACAACCAAACACACACAGGCACAGGCGCACACAACCAGACACAAGAACACACAGATACACACACACACACAGACACACACGCACACACACACATGCAAACACAGGTACACGCACACACAGACACACACACACGCACATACAACCACACACACAAACACAGACACACAAACACACACACACGCACAGACAGCCACACACACAAACACAGACACACAGACAAGCAGACACATAGACACACATAAAGACAGAGGTCTGATAGCGGTCCCAAAAGTGTTTAAGGCCTACAAGCACCTTCGCATATTTTTGTGCCCGAGGCCGCACACAGACACAGGCACAAACATACACTCACAGGCACGCACACAAGAACACAGGCACACAAACATACGCAGACGTTCAGACAGAGACACACACACACACAAACAGAGACACACACAGACACACACACAGACACACACACAGACACACACACAAAAACACAGGCTTGAAGTGCTAATAAGTTTTCCCAAGAAAATCACAGGCCTCTAATCACTGGTAGACACATACACAAAACACAGACACACAGACACACACACACAAGGACACAGTTAGACACACACAGATACACGCACACCGACACACACAACGACAAAGATGCGCACAATCCATGTCTGTGTTCGTATATCTTTTTGTGCACCGCACACGAACACAGACACAGCCCTTGTCTGTGTGCGTCTGTCTTTTTGTGTCTGTTTTCGTGCCTGTGTCTGTCTGTGCACAGTGGCTCAGACTAACGCAAGCACATTCGCAGAACTGTTGTAGGCCTTTAACCACTTTCGTCTGTGGCAGTCGAGTTCACACACAGACACACGCACACAAGAACACAGTTAGACACACACAGACAGACACGCACACACACACACACAAACACAGGTACACGCACACACAGACACACACGCACACACACACACGCACACACACACAAGGACACAGTTAGACACACACGCACACACACACACAAAGGCACAAACATACACTCACAGGCACGCCCACAAGAACACAGGCACACAGACATTCAGACATAGACACACACACACACAAACAGAGACACACACAGACACACACACAAAAACACAGGCTTGAAGTGATGAAAAGTTTCCCCAAGAAAATCAAAGGCCTAAAATCACTGTTAGACACACACAAAAGAACACAGGCACAGAGACACACACACGAACACAAGAACAGGCTTGTATTGTCAAAAAGTTTCCCCAGAATCAACACAGGCATTAAATCACTGTCGCCTAAAAACACAGGCTTGTATTGTCAACCAGTTACCCCAGACGCACACAGACACATACAGACATAAAGACATAAAGACACAGGCTCGTATT